TTTCGGGGATGCTGCGGACGATCCAACGTCTCGCGACGACGATTGTTTCGAGGAGTCGTGGGAAATCCCCGACGCGAGATCCTCCCCGTTATTCGATCATCCAATTTCTATTTTTGCGAAAATCGTTGTTTATTACACGGAAAATCGAATGTATCTGGGTGTCGAAACTCCTCCGTGAAACACGAGCGTTCCGAACTTTCAGTCAGCGTCATGAAATATTTATGCGACGACGTGTGCTCGAGACTTATAATTTAAAATTTCGCGGAGAATTTGTTTCGCCGTAACGACTGTTTCCAGGGCGCCATGGGAAAGCATCGTCGAGAAGATTCAATTAAGATCCCGTGCGACTCATATTTATGAAATGTTTCTCATGCACGAGATACAAAACGCAAAGAAACGTTACGCATCGTTGGCTCGGAATTTCATTTCCTCCGGAGACGATTGTCCCGATGAAAAGAGGATCCTTCGTGTTCGTTTTTTTTTTTCATGAATTCCGAATTTCTCTACGAGCGCTCCAGAAAACTGGTTACATCGCGAGACGAAGGAAAACGCGAATACTTAACCCCTTGACGTGCGATTTAATGTAATTTTTCAAACGTGTACTATTTAATTTTGTTTAAATTTGTTCGTACTTGTTTTTACAAGTACCTCGTGAATGTAAAAATGTGTTTAATTTTTAAGACTTGGAGGCCTCATAATTGTGAAACTTAACATCAAGTACTTGCGACATGTCAGACACGTCATTGTATGGCAAGGAGTTGTGGAACCAGATATTTCGTGGTAGCCTAACAGTGTACGAAATTTTAACGCGTGCAAGAATTTTGCATATCCTTGGCCCGCAGCCAATGAAAATCACCCGGCCGCAATTATATCCCCGAGGAATATTTACGACACGCCATCGTCGATCGCGGTGAAACTCGACGAAATTGGCTCGAGAGCCGAAGCCACGGGTATCGCGACTGAATCGTGAAACTTTCCGGCTGCTTTTCCCCCTCCCCTTTTCCCTCTAACGCACGCGGAAACCGCTTCGAAGATTCCGTAAGATAGAACGAGACGTTTCTCGAGAGAAGCCCGGAGCGGAATATGCTCGATCCGAGGATCCTCTCTCCTCTCGATCCCGAGCTTCCTCTCGTTCGTTTCAGGAGGCCTCGTTGGCTATGGTGGACGGTTGCACGGGGCACCATAAAGCCGCGCGATGAACGATACCGCAATAGGCTGCCGTGGCTATCGCGCGTGATACGTTTTATGAGTCGTAGAGCATACCGATGCTGTTAAACGAGCGAACCGAGGACGTCGCGGAGAGTCCCCGTCGACCATCCACTGCATCCTTTCGAGTCCTCAGCTTCGCTGTCGATCGACGGAGGCTCCCCCGGCGCTATAAAACTCCTCACGGTGATTTCGAGCGAGAAAAACACGCGTTCTGGGCGTTCGCCAGCTTCCGAGGGCGTTGATTCTCGTTTGGGAATATTAACCCTTTGCACTCGTATTTATATTTGAGAATCAATCAATTGGGAATTTTCTTTCGTATGTGATCAAAATAAAGACATTTTTATGGAAACATATTACAATTTAATTTGTTGATTTGGTAGACAAAATTGGAAAAATACACGAATTTTATCTGCATCTCATTTTCAAAATGTTTAAAAGATAAATAAAACTAATTTCTATATTGGAAGGGACACGTAAGACACACAGGGATACTAAAGGCTAAAATAATTCTGTACTACATAAAATATCAGCCTTTATGAATGTATGATAGCTCCAATATTCCCCTCGAAAACACAATCTTGTATTGCAATTGTATCTTTTATTTTTCTTTGATGATTCTTTTTTTGTAAACAAAACCAATTAGCCAGGACGAAAGAGGAAAAATCCTTTATCTTCCATTCAGAAATTGAAAGAAAATAAGGATCCCTAGAATGAAATACTAATGTAAATATGTGTATAATAATGTAATGTAGAATGGCGACATACGAGTGCAAAGGTCTAATTTAGGGGCTGAGAGAATGTTTTGATATTTGAAGATCGTACTACAAGAATTGCACAGCTTATTTTAATAATATTATAAAAATATCCCCAATATCTGATGTAAATGTTTCTGTAAATATTTTTAGAAATCGATGAACGAGCGATTTTTTCATGGATTAAAAAAGAAAATGGGAAACTGCAAGCAACATAAATCGGAGGAAACTCAAATTGATGATATCAATGGTTTTCAGTTGATAGAAATCGTGAAAGTAACACAGATGTCAGTCTGGTAATTTCAATGCGTGGGAGGTCATGATTATTCGATACAAGGCGCTAAAATATTCGGAATCGGTTTATTATTTATAGATAAGTAATGTTACGATTTATTTTACGGGGAAAGGAACTAAGGAATTTGTTTATTTAAGGAAAATAAGACATTGGAGTGCCAGTATCTTACATTTATATGAACAGCGATAAAGTTCACCAGTTAAATTCGCCCACGCTGGTTTATAGACAAAGGAATCAGCATATCTTCACGGGTGCAATCGTATTGGTTACGCAGTTGTCACGCGTATAAACTTGCATTGGTCACACTTTCCAGGTCACGGTAGCAAACGATTACAGAGAAATGATTTTTCTCCAAGTGATTCACTTTCTAGAGAATTTATACATATTCATTGCATAATTTTAACTGAATTCTCGATCATATTGCACTAGTCTGCTAATTTAACGGTGAGTTTACTGATGAAATCAAGATGGAACACGCTTTTATTAACTCTTTATACCTTCGAACAACAGCACAACGAAACAAAATGTGTCAAAATTTCAATTCAATTTTCTATTTCTACCAAAATAAATTTTTTTATTTTGACCCTTCTGACACGTTCCTGATCCACCTATTTATCTCCTTTGTAATGGATTTCCAATTGTTCAGCGATAGAAACGTGTATCTGACAATTATTAAGAAATCTATCTCCTGCTCCTTGGGAGATTTCAATGCATGGTAATTTCATTGGTCTCTTTGGACTTCATTGATGGAGTTTCGACGAGTGATCTACTTACATCAATTGTGACAAAGCTTTATACGAAACCAATATAAGAAGAATGTTAACCCCTTGACGATTTAATGTAATTTTTCAAACGTCCACTATTTAATTTTGTTTTTGTTCGTACAAGAAATGGCCACGAGAAAGAATAGATTTGTTTTACGAATACCATCGTGGAAGTCGACGCGTTTTTCGGTGGGCGTGATTTTCGACGTGAAAATTGCACGGTTCGCGAACGGGGCCGATCCCGACGACGAAGAATCGACGCCGCGTTCCCGGCGCGGTCGATCGAAAGACGCGGCGCAGATAAACGGAACGGCAGGGATAGCAATAAAATAAATTGGCGTTATGCCCGATTCTTATCAATGAAATATGCACTTTCTCCGAACAATGGGCGTATTATGTAATGTGAAATATATTCAGTTTCCTCGTGTTCACTTTCCTCGATGCCACGATAATGGACGATCGTTATTCAAAATTCTATTCCAACGCGTTAAGTGGCGCATGATTTACCGCCTTTCTCGTCCCGCTTTTATTCAACCCGTTTGGAACACACCGTAAACACGGTTTTAATGCGACGTCGATAGGATCGAATATTCACGGCAACCCCGGAGAAAAAATTCTTTGGAGAACGGCGACACCTGCTCTCGTATTGGCTGAGACACCTGAGACGATCCAGATTCTCAACCTCTCGCGCGTTAAAAATCATTGTATGGGGCAGTGGAGTGATATAAAAGTTTTAGTTCGATGAAAATTGGTCGAATGTTCGTCGAATAATGGCGTTTGTTGCTCCCTTTCAGCCAGAATCAATTGAACAACGCGCTGACGCTTGTTTATCTACGTAATTAAATTATCGCGCGCCGTAACGCTGTAATTACGAGCGATACAAATTTTTTCGACGTTTCTGATTAGCTTTCCAGGCGAGGTCGGGCCGAGATTAATTAGAAAAACGTCGTATACGCGGCTAATTGATGACCGCGCCGGCCCGCGGAAGGCAGGGCGCACGTTCGCGTAGAAAATTCGTAGTTGCGGCCACGATGTCGGCCAGAAACGATATACAAGCCGCGATTTTGCACCTCGTCTGTGATTATAGTGGGCGTGTCGAGGATGTCACGGCCCGCGGAAAATTATAATTATTACGGAAATAAGCGTCGTTCGCGTTTATTTGTTGGAAAGTGCGCGAGCGCTCGTTTAGTTCCAGGCAAAAGATTAATAAATTGCCAATTTCGTGCCGAGCGATTGCAGTTATTATTCCGGCGATCGAGGCGAAAACCGCGGACAGGGCGTAATAAATCGTTCATTTCGAGCATAATGTTCGAAAGCGATAAGAGTTTCCCTTCGCGGGCTCGTATAATTTCTGCCTGGGAAAGCTTGGACCGTCTCGAACGCCTTTTTGTTAGATTAACCTATTTCGTGTAATTTATTAATAACGATCGAATACGTTTGTTTGCTCTGCCATGCTATTGATCGTATAAAATTGACGAATCGTTGAACCGACGTCGAGAATAAATTATTTCAAAGGGTTCACATACTCTTCAATCTTTTTTTTCATAAAATGGTCATAAATTGCTGGTAAAGCAATTTTGCAATACAGTCGAAAATATCTAGATTTTATTTATTTATGCAACCCACTCGATGGAAATTTTTATGGACTCAAAATTACGCTTGATATTAACAGATTAAAATATTTAAAATTACAGGTAAAATAAAATTATAACCTTCAAGATGCTACAAAAAAAGAACAGAGTCAACATCAACTCACAATCGTACAGTAAAAGTGGAGGAATAATTAAAAATCTGTTATACATTAAAATTGTAATTGCATGCATCTTCTGACTAGAATTTCGTTTAATTAAAAATAAAATTCTATTGTAGATCACTCTTCTTTTCGATCGTGGTAAGATTCGCGCCGAATTCTGTCCGTCCGCTCGAATTAATTAACGAAGAATGGCGAGCGGTAATTAACAGCAAAAGAACAATAAATACCTGGGTAAACGGGCGAGGTAGAGAAGAAACGATGACACCTCCTTGACGCAGAGGGCGTCCCCTCTGGACGGGTGATCCTCGAACTCGAGAACAGGTCTGCCGTACGCGTCCGTGCACCCTGCAAACAGACGATGGAAAAATTAATTACGCCCAGGAAACGAGTCTCTCGCTCAGTTACCACCTCCTCGTGTCCGCGATGGTTTGCTTCCCTTTCATTCTTTCAAATAACACGGTGTTATTAGGTGCCCCAAAACGGTGACTTCGGTTCTCGTGACTTTCGTGGCTTTCAAAATTATATTTCAATCACTTCAATCGTTTAAGGATTACTAATTTTTAATTTAATTTTAATTCCCAAAAAACTACATAATGCACTTAAGATACGAATTATTATACTTAAGGGTTGAGACAAGTCTCTACAGACAACCCTCTAACCCTCCCTTTTCATTAATTCTATTAGATCAAAATTTCATTTTTCACTCTTTCGAAGAAGCATAAATACGAGAGACTATTGTACTATCGTGTTAAATATGTGTAGAAAATGGGGTAGTAAATTTTGTTTATTACTCGCATCAATAACGTTTAATAAAAATGAATTCCGAGCATCGAGGGGTTAAAATTGTCGAACGTCGTGCACGAGACTTCCCTCGCATAATTATCGAGTATCAGCAGCCGATATTTTGCACACATCGGCCGGGATATGTAATTTACCATCGTGCAAGGGCAGATAAAATCGAAGGCGGACAATTTTGATCGTTGTCGGTGGCATTCCGTTCATTGTTAGCTACCAATGATACATTCTTGCGGAAAGAAGTCAGCTCACGAATGATCGTACCCCCGAGTCCCATAAACGGCGTAATAAAAGTCGGTAACAGCATTTGATTACAGGCCGTGATCCGATTCGGCCGTGTAACCGCGGTTGATCGTAATCTCACGGCGTCGTAAGTTATTAAACGATCCCCTTTTAGCAGCGGCGTATTCGCGTCTGAGTAGGTCATCATCGAGCAAAATCTTGGGTTACGAAAGCGGGTGTACCGATGAAAATGTAATAACATTTCGTACATGGCCAGATCCGCGCGGATAACGCGAAATAGAAGACATCGTAAAATCTTATTGTCTTAATCGTGACCGAGGCCCGAACGTCGATGCTCGTATCGCTTGGGATCGGAGATCCTTAGCTCACGAGCGATGTTGGTTTACAAGCTCGTCATTGCTGCGCGATTAGACGATACCTCCGCGTACCGTGCTCGTCAACGGCGAGCCTTTCAATTATTTAGACTACTTGTAAATTTACGAACGACGTCCCCCATTTGCTCAAACTGATAAACTCATTCCATCTGGGGGGGTTGGAACTGGGCGTTTGAAAACCTCTGAAACGAACAAGATTCAATTCTTCAGGATGCACACCTCGAGATTGATAATTTATCCCTTGAATTTTTGATAGGGTAATTAATAATTTTTGGATTTAGTTAAGTTTCCTAATAGTGAATATTTGAGATGTTTATGTTGAAATTGAATTTTGCTGTCTTCTCAGGATGGATATTATTTTGACTACCTTTCTTCTTCAATCTTGAACTTTATTATAGGACCATCCTCCAGAATTTCTTTCCCTAATAGTGAATATTTGAGATGTTTATGTTGAAATTGAATTTTGCAGTCTTCTCAGGATGGATATTATTTTGACTACCTTTCTTGTTCAATCTTGAACTTTATTATAGGATCATCCTCCATAATTTCCCAATTTTAATGCCACCCTTTTTCTTTCGTCGTTGTATAAATGAAACTTGATGAAGATTGCGTTAATTTATCTCAGTTACGACACATAGTATGTGAACTCCAGAAAAACTGGAGGAACAGAATGGCAAACATGTTGAACGTTGTATCGATTAAACGGCAAAATACGGAACCTGGCGCAAGAAAAGGTAAATGGATATCTTAGCAGCTATTCAAGGATAATCATTTGATCTGAAAAACATTCAAAAGATTGCAACAAACGCTTCCGCCGCCACGCAAAACGTTAGACCGGCCTACATCAGACGTGGAAAAAGCAGACCTATTTACCCATTGCCTCTGTGGATGTAATCAAACCGTTTCCGCCGGTTGCAAACACTGATGAACATGTGGAAGATGATGTCTCAAACGACGAGACTCATTAAAGCCACTTCGCCTACCGAGATTTCAAATTTGATATACGAAGCCCTAGGTTATGAATAAATGGTAGGAAAAATATAGAAAAATTTACTATATATAATTATAATTTTTTTGGGCTGCTAATTACAGTTATATTGTGTTTATTATATTGTAAACTCACTGTATTACGAACCAAGGAGCCACAACATAAGGGTAGAAGAAATCTCTCAATATCAGAACCTTTTATATAAATTAAAAAAGTCCAAGAAATACGCAATATTAAATTTGAAAGAAATATAAAATATAAAATATCGACTTTTATTTCCAAAACAATGAAACAACTATCACTGACTCGAAACTCGTTCCTGCGACAGAATTTCCAAACCAGTTATCTAAATCATTCCCCGACCAGAAACGGTGCTCGGCGCAGCCAATTAAAATTAATTATTGCCCAAAGCGAACGCGAATTTGGCTTTCTATTTCTAATGCAAATATAATGATACGCTCAAAGACGCCAAGCGTGGCTATTAAACTTTCGCAAAAAGTATCGAGATCGCCAGTCGAACTCCCAACGCAGCTTCTAATCGCTTCGAACGCGAAACTTGGCGAACATCGGATCGATGGGTTTTACTTCCTCGATTTCTTCGGTGAAATATCGGCGAATGGGAAACGAGCGTCACGTTTCCACGGAAACACGCGAACGTTCACCCCCTTTCGGGAGGATGTGCAGAAAATGGAGAAACAACCGATGGAACGGGGCAACCGTTAATCGACTCGTAAACATCGAACACTCGGCGTGATTTCTCGAAGCAAGGAAATGCAAGAGCACGCCGGACGGTCAGCGCGACCTTTTTTAACGATCCAAGCAGCCGCTCGGATTACCATAACCGATCGATTACCGGCCTTCCGCGAGGAGTTTCACTGCGAGATGAAGACGTTAAGCTAGGATCGCCTGCAGCCTCGGAGACTGGCATCGCTGTCACGAGGAGCACGATGTTCGATGGACGTTTTCACACATCCACAGCCATCGTACAGCCGCCAGGTACACACAGGGTTTTTGTCGACGGCGAATATCGATATCGAGACGGGACGCTTCTTCTTGGAAAGCAACGAGAATTCGTGGATCTTAATCGCAAGAAGTTGAGGAACCCTGGACCTCGTCCTCTAAGAGGCTCAATTCTGTCAAATACTAAATCCACGTTTAAATAATCGAGTTTTCTGGGGCTTCTTTTCAAAGTTAGGAATCTTCAAAATATGTCTACAAAACCATATGAATGAATTTGCAAAAATAATGAAATTACAGCTACTTTTAAACGCCATTTTCTCGAAACTATATCTTCGAAATTGCTTAACAGGACATGACAAGTTCTGATCAATAGATTGACTTGAAATTCATCATGAATATTCAGAAGACACGTCTTTATATCCAGAAACAAGTATATTAAAATCTGATGTGTTATTCTATTTTTTTTTTCAGTCTCAGAAACTAGAACTAAGAAAAATTGATACCTCAACTTTAAGGTGTTACCAATTTATACAAAATTGAAATTTCTTTTAATTTGTGTTGTAGCTGTATTCATAACAAATAAAAAGAGACCTCCTTTCGTTGATAGAACCGGTCTGCAAAGTTCAGAAACCTCTCGAAACTCTGTCTCCGGTACAAAAGATCCACCAGTGGATCGAATTGTCTTTTGTCGGAGCGTAGACGCGCCCCGATCGGGAAAATAAAGGAACGTCAGAGGGTCGAAGTTCTCGTTGGGGTGAATGGAACCCCTCTGATCGAGGCCAGAAGTGCATTAGCACCCCGAGAATTTGCGAGCGTGCACGAGCCTCGACGTCTGCCCACTGGCATTGGGCATTATTATCGCGTTACCACGTAATCGGCCATATAACTTACACCGGTATGAATTATCATTAACGCCCTGGGCGTTCACCCTTCGGGAGATATCAAGGTGTTGCGCGCATATTCATCGCTGTCGGAACTGGCGGTGTTCCTAACGGCACGTGTCACGGACCGCGCGATCATGGTTGTCAGCCGCTCGTTCCTGGAAAATAGAGACCGCTGTCGTCGAATTCTCGAAACGAAAGCACACCTGGACGATGTACGTGTTTCGTTTCCACTGGAACCGTAGGTGTTGAATTTTTAACGACGAAGGTAAACAGAGAAACTAATTTTGCATTGTAAGGTTTGATAATGAGTTCCTTCTTTTGGTGGAGGATTCTCAAAATATTAAATTGATGTAACATTCGATATTTTAGCTCATAACGAAAACCTTCTTCAGAAATAATTCAGTCGATAATTGTATTACATCAAATTGAAATGAAATAAATGGCCCAACGAAGAAAAAGATCACTTACTATGTGTAACTAGTTAAAAATTCTAAAAAATAATGTTTGTACGTTTCAATACTCTCATGTTTTATGGTATATCTTTTACTGTAAATGTTTTAATATATTAATGCAAAGATTGATACGTATAAAATACCATTCAAAACCATGAGCCCAAGTCCTCCGGAACGATTCGTTATCGACACATTGTCGGTACGTTTTTTGATATTGCCATCAATTATCTGTCAAAACGTCTTTAAAAATTACATCATCGACGTGATATTGCGTCCCCTGACACTGATACCATCGACATGTTGTCGATACAATCTTCGATATTGGCACCATTAACACATTGTACATCCCACGACATCCACACTATCGACACGTTGTCAGTACGTACTTTTACGTCACGTATGTTCTTCGACCACTATCAGTACCTGATATCTTCGATACCAATCGACATTCTGTTGGTGCATCCTTTTCTCTCAATACTACCAAAATCATCCCCTGATATTGACACTATTGACCATCCTCGGTACATCTTTGATATCATCAAATAATAAAAAAAACAAATATCTGTGTACTAAAGAGTTTGTTCTCCAGTTTACTGAATAAAATTCCCGTTTCTACAACATGGCGTCGGTGTGTTCTTTGACACCGATA